ATCCAGTCACATCCTTAAGATATGAGAGATAAGACCAGGACCACACACGCCCCAGACCTTTTGCCAGTTGCAGCATTTCATAACCTATTGCAAAAAAGCACTTTCAAAACCCTGCCATTCACCCTGCTGTCCGGCACAGAACAAGAAGCATAGCCTCTCCCTGTCCTCATTCCAAGCCGCCCTTTGCTGGCCTTTCTACCCATCACCCCCCAGCTCTTCTGCACATTCTCACTCCTGTATTACACCACAACTCTCTCTCCTCACACAACAACACACACAACCACACACACACACCACAGAGAAACTGTCGTCCCCCTCCCCCATCAAATCCTCAAACTTGTCTCAAAACAACTTTTCTTCATGTGGAGGGTGGTACTAGGATTCAAAAACTCAGACCTATATATATGTGAGACAAAACACCACACCCTCAGCTGTTACCTCTATCATATTGTCCGACTTGAGGCCCTCCAGTTCCCAATCACAAGCCCGATTGCAGGACTGCACTCTCCATTCACTTCTGACATAACTTTCATTACATAAAGAAGTTATCAGTCTTTGAACTGATGATCACTCTTTTCCCTCACTCAGTAGCCTAAACCTGGCCTTGATCTTAAGATCTTTCGCCTTCAGCATCCTGAGTGCTGATTACAGGCATGTGCCATCAATCCTGCAGAATCAGCAATTCTTTTTTTTTTTTTTTGGTCATTTTTCTCATTTTGGGGTTGAACCTGCCTTCATCCATGAAGCACTCTACCACTTAGCTACATTCCCACCCCATTTGTTGTTGTTTTGACCGAGATGGAAGCCAACTTTTGAGGCTATATGTATGCTCCACCACTAAGCACAACACCAGCCACTATACAAAAATTCTGTTAACTCCAAAAATATATCTACAGTGTTGGCCTCTCCCCTAATTGCAAGCTTGCTGAACTCTGTCACCCTGACGAACCCTCAAAGACATCTCAAATTTAACCTATGCAAAACCAAAACTGCATGCACTCCCTCCTGACTAGCCTGTTTTCTAGAATCCTCAAATCCCACCCCCATCTCCAAAATAACCACAGGAAATGGGCTGTAGGCATAGCTCAAGTGTAGAGGCTGCTAGCAAGGGGAAGGTCCTGATTCAAACCCAGGAGCAACAAAACAAAAAGAAAAAGAAAAAAGATAACTATGACCAAAGATGAACTATGACTGTGCTATAGTTCCCTAAAGATGCCACATACTAGTCCCAGAATTTATGAATACATTTTCTAATATGAAACCTTCACAGGTATCGATTAAAAGATTTGAGACACAGAGATGACCTGCATGTAGCTAGGATTACAGTATGACAACCAGCACCCAGCTTCATCTAACTTCTAAGTTGCAGCCCTGCCTACCTAATTTGCTTACTTTCTTATCTCTCCTCAAAAACATACACCATATGCAACCACAAAGGTCAAAATATTGAGAGAATGTGCTTAGTCCTAACATCTACAATACATTATAGATCTCAAAGCCAGAGTTCAAACAACTACTTTCCTTTTTCCTTCAGCCAGTCTGGATTCTTTTCTCTTCTTTTAAATCACTAATTCAGAATATCAATATTCATTGCTCTTCTTGCCTCTGCTTGTTTGTGCAGCCATGAAAAAAGAATGAAGTGTCATGAAGGATACAGTCTTTGTTAGGTTGTGTTGCTGTAACAAATTACTGAGGCTGGGTGCTTTATAAAGAAAAGAGCTCCATTTCGCTTATAGTTCGGAGGCTGACAGTCTGAGAGCTGATAGCCACATCTGGTCAGGCTCTGGGAAGCCTTCAGGCTATGTTACAAATTGTGGGTTTTATCTGTGGCTGGAGCATCATGTGGCTGGAGCATGTGCAAGGGGGTGGGTGGGAGAGGGACAGAATTGTGAGAGGGAGAGATATATATGGGGAGCTACCAGTGTTGGTTGGGAACCAAACACTCTGTGGACTAGTCCACTCCTCAAGACCAGAAACTAACCCTTCGCAGAGCCCATGATGTAAACCAGCTTCCACGAGGCCCTGCCTCTTAAAGATCTCCAGCTCTCAGTAACCTTTACTTTGGGACCAAGCTTTCTGACATCACAAGGAATCTTTGTGGGATGCTATGTTTGGACCTTTAATATGCCTTTAAGGCGGTCCCAGCCATGACGCTATTGGGAGGTGGGCCTAGCGCACAGAAGTCAGGTCACAGGGACTCAGACTTCCCTCTTTCTTGGATGCCCAGAATCCAAGCTGTGATGCAAGCCTTTCCTAACCATGTATGTTCACCTTGGCCACAGGGCCAAAAGCAATGAACATCAATCGCAACCAGGGGACTGCAACCTCTAAAAACAGAAGCCCAAACAAACGTTTTCTCCTTATCAGCTCACTCTCTTAAGGTATTTTGTCACACTGGTGAAAAGCGATTAACACAGGGGCAAACCATATCCAAACCACAGCAGACACTATGGTATTAACAGATACTTTTAGATTTTCTATCTTCAAGATATCTGCAAATCCATGTTACAGAAACACTATTCACAATAGCCAAAATATAGAATCATCCAAGGTGCCTATGAACCAATGAATGGAAAGAAAATGTGTTATGTATACACAATGGAGTATTACTCAGCCATAAAGAAGAATGAAATTATGCCATTTGCAGGAACATGGATGGAACTGGAGATCATAATGTTAAGTGAAATAAGCCAGGCTCAAAAGGACAAATATCTTCTGCTCTCTGTCATATGCAATCTATTCTTTAAAAATGAATGACAAGAGTTTAAAATGGGGACTGTTTGGGGTGGACACCAGTGGGAGGGGAAGGACAAAAGAGAAGGCAAATATGGTTATACCATGAATGAAATCAAAACTATGAAACTGTTGAAACTGTTTTAAGAAGGGGGGAAGAGGGAAGAGGAATAGGGGTAAACTTGATTGAGGTACACTGTATGTTTGTGTGGAAGTACCATAATGAAACCCCACTGTACAACTAATATATGCTAATAAAAAATTTAAAAACAATTATAATAATTACAATTATAATTACGGAAATTAAAATTTTTTTTTAATGATACTGGGGTTTGAACTCAGGGCTACACCTTGAGCCACTCCACTGGTCCTTTTTTTAGTGAATTTTTTCAAGATAGAGTCTCTCTAACTATTTGCCTTGGCTGGCTTCAAACAGCAGTCCTCCTGATCTCTACCTCCTGAGTAGCGAGGATTACAGATATGAGCCCCCAGTATCCGCACACTTTTCATCCTTTTTGCTTTACTTCTCACATAGAGTCTTGCTCTTTGCCTGAGTTAGCCTTAGACTGCGATACTCCCACTGATGCCTTGCACATAGCAGGTGTGTACCACTACACCCATCTTGCTTATTGAGATGAAGCTCCACTAACATTTTGCTAGGGCTGGCCTTGAACCACAATCTTCCCACTCGAGTGAGCCCCCTTGCCTGTCCAGTTTCTATAATTTTTTAATTGAGAGAGGCATCAAAAAATGCATATCTTAGTGCTCTTATTACTGAAGACACAATTTATGAAATCCAGGGCTCAGAAATTTATAAATGAATGAAATATTTTAATTCTATAATATCACAATGTTAGAAATACCTGCCAATAAAAATTAACTGTAATAATACATTCATTGAAACTTGCAAGTCTTTTCTTTCCAAAATACACACTATTACAAAGTTTACAAATATATTACAGCGAATAAGTCTGACAAAATTAATAGCAAGTGAAGTTTCCCTCTTGCAATAGCAGCAATACCATTATGTCCGTGTTCTCTCATCAGCATTCTGGGGAAACATTTCCTAAGGAAATACTAAAATATATTCATGAAATAATATCCTTGGGTAATAAATATTTAAGAAATTTAGAACCTGTGCTAAGTTCAATAGTTGAAGTCAGATGAAAGCATTTCCACGGATGGCAAGTGTAACTACAGCACGTGTATGTACCTCCTCCTCCTCTGCCGCATGTGACTCTCGGAGGGCTGTCGGGAAGACTCGAGGGGTAAAGCTGACTTGAATGCTGCCCACAGAGCGAGGAGCAGGAACGCAGTCTTCCTTGAACACCTCAGAAAATATATTCTCTGAATTTCTCCCTTCAAAAGCAATGGTAAAAGTAAGTCATTTCTCATTTCCTAGTTAAAAACTGACTTTAAAGATAATTATGCATTAAAGCTAGTTCTAAACTCCTAAACAAATAAAGCAAAGATAGTTTTCTGCAAAAAGGAACATAAAGCTCATTTCTGATAATACAGAAGCTAATCTTTCATTTAACTGATGACCCCACTCCTTTTCTGGGGTTCTCTTTGTTAAGCCACTGTCATGGTGCCCAATTCACATCAAGTCTAGGGGTGGGCACTTTAGGCAGCTCTACATCAACTCTAGAGCAGGACATGGAAGCAAATCCACCACTGCCCAAACCACTCTGTTCCTTATGCTCCTATAGCCATGTGGCCTATGCACATCCTTGCGAGGGCGTAGGTTGTTCAACCATCAAAGAGAACTAACTATAATAGGCAAATGATAATGAAAAGCTAAACATTTTTGTAAAGGTCGTTAGACATAATAACAGTTAAGCTGGTATAAGAGAAAAGATTAATCTACGTGTTAGAGTATAACCTATATGAAAGAAGAAAAGGACATGGAGCTGTGTTAGTCACCCTTTTGCAATGTTGTGACCAAATGTCCTAAAAAAAGCAACTTACAGGATAAACGATGTATTTTGGCTCATAGTTTCAGAGGTGTCAGTCTATTGTGGTAGAGAGGAGGTGAAGAAAAGCAGTTCACATTATGGTAATCAGGAAGAGGGGAAAGGGGCATACAGGAAGTGGGCCTGACCCAGTGACCTTCTTCCTCCAACTAGACCCTACCTCCTCCCTTTAACCACCTCCAATAATGCCATCATGTTATAAATCCATCAGGCCATAATCCATTCATTAGGCCAGAGCTCTCAGGATGTAGCTGCCTATGAAAACAACCTTCCAAACACATCCAGGTATGCTTGGTGTGCTTTACCAATCTCCTAAGCATTTTTTTGGTGTACTGGATTTGAACTCAGGGCCTCAAGCTTGCTAGGCAGGTGCTCTACTGCTTAAGCCACTCTGCGAGCACTGTTTTGTAATGGGTATTTTCAAGATATGGTCTCTTGGACCATTTGCCCAGGCTGGCTTCAAACTGCTTTCCTCCTGATCTCTGCCTCCTGAGTAGGTAGGATTACAGGCATAAGCCACTGGCCCTCCTAGCCCTTTCTTAATCCAAAAACGTAGAGATTAAAATTAACTATTACCCTAAAAACAATGAAAACAAAACCAAAAACAAACCCAGGTTACTAAAGCACCAAAAATATAACATGCAGATTTAAAGGTACATAGCAAAACTAGTGAAAAAAAAGATTTTCAAGAACTAGGACACAGAGGGATGGGGGCTTGGCTCAAGGGGTGGAGGCTGGTCTAGAAGCACAAGGCCTTGAGTTCAAACCCCAGTACCACCAAAAAGAAAGAAAAGAAATAGGATACAGGATAATATGCTTAACAGACTTCAGGACACAGGCCTATGATCTCAGTACCTGGGAGGCTGAGGCAGAAGGATCTCAAGCTCAAGGGCAGCATGGGCTGTAAACTGAGGCCCTGTCTCAAACACACCAAAGACTGGGGGTGTAGTTCACTGGTATAGTGCTTGCCTAGTATGTACAAGACCCTGGCTTTGATCTCCATCCCCCAAATAAACAAAAAGTCCTGGGCAGAAAATGAATACATAGCAAAAATCAAAAAGTTTAAAAAGTTACAAAAAGGACAGGTACAGTGGAATTAGCCAATAATCCCAGCTCCGTAGGAGGCTGAGGTAGGACAGCTTGAGTCTAGTAGTGCAGGGCCACCTTGGGTGACACATGAGGCCTCTTTCAAAAATAAGTAGTTAAAAATTAGAAAAAGGCCTGAGCAGACATTTCAACAGAAGGGACCCAGAGACAGAGTCATCTGATGTGATGACAGAAGCAACCACACCAACCTGGACATTTGCTCCTGAAGAAAAGTATCTATCAGACCTAGGTTGATTTCTGTCTGTTGCACAACAAAGTGTCACCTTACAAAGAACCAACTTTCAATCTTATGTTGCAGTTGTGGATCAAGACAGCCCAGGCTGGCATCAAAATCAAACTCTGGATCTTCCTGCCCCAGCCTTACAAGTGTTGGGATTTATAGGCATGTCTCAAAAACCAAAATAAACAAAAAAAGCCAGGCATGGGGGCACACAATGGTAATCCTAGCTATTTGGGAAGGTGAAAATTGGGAAGATCACAGTTTGAGGCCAGCCCAGGGAAAAAGTTTGAGGCCACACCTCAACCAACAAAGCTGGGCATGGTAGTGAACGCCTGTTATCCTAGGTACTCAGAAGGCTTAAACTGGGGCATAAATGTAAGACCCTATTTGACAAATTGCTAAAAGGAAAGGGCTAAAGGCATAGCTCAATTGGTAGTGTCTGCCAAGGCAAGGCCCTGAGTTCAAAACCCCCAGTACTGCCAAAAAGAAGAAGAAAAAAAGGAGTCCCATAACTTGTGAGGTTTATTATGATTATCAAATCTTGGCAAGGACAGTGTGAGGAAGGAAAAAATGTAAGTCAATCTTCATATGACTGTGAAAATCATTCATAAAATACTAGCAAATTGAATTTCACTGTATAGAAACCAGTGTGATCAAACATCACTCGTCACAGGAACACAAGAATGCTTCTATGTCATAAAAACTATTAATGCAATATACCACATTCATTAAATAAAGGACAAAATTACAACAAATGCCCAGGCTAGAATTCAATATCCATTCATTATCCAGAATAATTAAAATAAATAAGCAAATTCAACATATTGTCCTACACGTATTAATCAACTGCCTTCTAATACATTTGTCTTTAAAAAAGTAATTTAAAAAGTACATCATTCCTGCCTGGCGTTGGTGTACCACATGGGTAATCCTGGCTACTCAGGATATAGAGAACAGGAGGATCACGGTTCAAAGCCAACCTGGCAAATAGTTTGAGACCCCATCTTGAAAAAATCCTTCACAAAAAAAGGGCTGGTGGAGTGGCTAAAAGCATAGACCCAGAGTTCAAACCCGTAAGTACACAGTATATATGTACTTCATATATATATATGTAAAATTTCTAGTGTACCTGGAGAGTAAATGCTATAAGATCGCATGCCTAAAAAAAATCTTTTTGTTGTTTTGTTTTTTTGAGACAGGGTCTCACTATGTAGTTCAGCCTGGCCTCAAACTCACCATCCTCTTGCCTCAGCCTCCTGAGTGCTAGGATTACAGGTGTACAGCACCATGCCTGGCACCTGAAAAATCTTTATTCTCACCTCTCATTTCATTAATAATGTGGGTGCATAATTCCATGTTGAAAAAATTTTTCACCCAGAATGTTGAAGGCACCAACCCACAGCTTTGGGATTCTAAGGCTGACAAGTATCAATGTGAACATTCCCAGTCCTTTTTGTGTGGCCCATTTCTTCTCTCTGGATGCTTTCAGGATCATTTTCCCCAGTATGCTGAAATACTTGGTAATGTGTTCTCCAAAATTAATGGTGTGAATATGTTCTCCAAAATTACTGTGTTGGTAACTTAATTCCCAATGCAATAGTGTTGGAGGGTAGAGCCAAGCAGGAGTTTATGTCATGTCCTATTATAATGTCATTTTAAAGGGCATAATGGGGGGAGCCTGCTGTCTCTGCCTTTATGCCAAGTAAGGACACAGAAAGAATGCCCACATCAGGTATCAGCACCTTGACCTTGAATTCCTAGCTCCCAGAAATGTGAGAAATAAAGTGCTGTTCTTTCTAAGTTAACAGAGTCTGGAGTGTAGCTCAGTGGTACAGTGCTTCCCTTACATGCACCAGCCATTGGGTTCAATTCCCAGCACCCAAAAACAGAATCCAGTCTGTGCCATTCTGTGATAGTGGCACAAAACAGATTACAATGTGTAATCAATTTTAACATCAATTTTAACATTATTATACTCATCCTGATTCGTCCTTTCAATCTAGAAACTCATTTAAATTCTAGGAATTTAAATTTCTAGCACATTTTAATGATTTCCTCTCCTGTCTCTCCTTTCACTCTTCCTAATACTCCTGTTAGTTGAATATTGGACAGTTTAGATATATCTTCAAATTGTTTTAATTTTTTCCTAGCTCAAATCGCTTTATCATATTGTTCTACTTTCTGAAAAGAAGAAAAGCCTTAACCATCTTCCATTTATTGGGTTGAATTTTTAAAATATTAATCATATTTTTAATTTCCAAACATTTTTGTTTTCTCAATATTCTTTTTTTCTTTCTTTTTTGGATAAGGTCTCAGGTTTTTACCCAGGGCCAACCTTGGACCATGAGCCTCCTACCTACACTTCCTGCCCAGCTGGGATCACAGGTGTGTGCCACCATGCTCAGTTAGTAGAGCTTGAGTCTCACTAACTTTTTGGTCTTGAACCGAGTTCCTCCTGATCTCCACGTCCTGATTAGCTGGGATTATAGGGCTGAGTCACCTTGCCCAGCTATTCTCTCAAGATTCTTTATTACAGCCTCATGTCCTTATTTAATGAATAAAATATGTTCTCGCCAGGTGTAGTGGCCCGCACCTGTAATCCAGCACTCAGGAGGCTGAGATAGGAGGATCTCAAGTTTGAAGCCAGTCTGGACTACAAAGCTAGCCCCCGTCTCAAAAACGCAAAAAACAAAAAAAACCTTACAAGTGACTTTTATAAACTTATTCCTAAGGCTTACAATTCATTGATTAGTTCTACTAGTTCTGGATCTTCCTTAGGGTTCCCAAATCAAGATCCAATCTCAGCCTACAAGTAGCTAGGATTACAGGCTTGAGTCCCCAGTGCCAACTTTTTTTCTTGTCTTAATGCATAGTGAATAAAAGTGCCTGGTTCTTAGACCTATGCAGCAAATATATTTGCTATTAAAAAAAATTTTTTTGGCAGCACTGGAGTTTGAACTCAGGGCCTCATGCTTGCTAGGCAGGTACACTACTGCCTGAGCCACTCCACCAGCCCTCTTCTTTTTTTCTTTTTCTCTTTTTCTTCATTTCTGCCGATCAAACCAAGGGCTTGCACATAATAGGCAAGAGCGCTACCACTGAGTTACATTGTGGCCCTTGATTTTCTGACTTTTTTTTTTTTTTGGTGGTACTGGGGCCTTTGGTTTTCTGAGACAGGGTTTTGCTGTGTATATCAGGTTGACCTTGAATTCACAATCCTTCTGCTTCCACCTTCCAAGTATTGGGATTACAGGCATGAACCACCAAGCCCAGCTAAAAACATGAAATTTTTATCATCAATGGGTGTTGGATTTTGTCAAATGTCTTTCTACAATACTGAAATGGTGTTTTTTCCTTTATTCTGTTAACAAGAGGAATCAATACTGAAAACTTTCAGATAGTAAACCAACTTAGCAGTCCTGGTACAAACTCTGCTTGGTCACACTATACTACCATTCTGTTTTGTTGTTTTGTATTTTTTGAAACTGAGTCTCGCTATTCAGACTAGGCTGGCATTGAAGTTGCAATCCTCCTGCCTTGGTGTCCAAGAGGGCTAGGACTACTGGTGTACATAACCACAGCTGGCACCTGTGCTGCCCTTTTTATTTATTACAGGACTCAATTGGCTATTATCTTGTTGTGGATGTGTACATTTATATTTATAAGGGACATAGGCCTGCAGTTTTCCTTTTTTGTACTGTCTTTGTCAGGATTGGATTATTAGAGTTAGGTTGGTCTTAAGTGTTGGAAAGTATTCCTCTGTCCTCTACTTTTATGAAAGATTTTCTGTAAAAATTGGCATTACTTTTTCTTTGAACTGATAGAATATACCAGTGATATCACTAGGACCTGAAGTTTACATTGAGTTAGATCCCCAGCCAAATACATTATTTCAGTTTGCCAAATTTGCTTTTATCTGTGTCAATTATGGTATACTTTATTATCTTACTATATTTTTCTGTCTGTAAGATTAGTATGTAACTTATTTATTTTACTTTATTTTCTGAATCAGTTCTGCTACATAGCTCAGGAAGTCGTGATCCTATTCCCTTCACCTCTCGAGTGCTAGGCTTACTGGTGGAATCCAGCACACCCACTCGAATTTAATTGTTTATTTTTCTTTTTTCTTGATGAGTCTAGCTAGGTATTAATATATCTTGTGATGTTTTCAAAAACCAGCCTTTGGCTGGTCTCCAGCACTTTCAATTTATTCCTAAAGATCCAAGTTTCCTCACTTCCCTTTACCCCTAAAACAGAAACAGAATAGATACAAAGCTACCTATCTACCTGCCTTCCTATAAGACAGAGAGAGGGGAGAGAGGAGGTGGGGAGGAAGGAGAGAGACAGAGACAGAGAGAGAGAGAGATTAAGAAAGTGGCTCACATGACTGGAGAGTAAGAAGTCTCTAATCTGTAGTAGGCAAGCTTGAGATCCAGGAGAGTCAATGGCACAGTTCCAGTCTGAGTCCAAAGGCAGGAACAATGTCCCAGCTAAGAGACTGGGACAAAGAGGGAGAGAGGAAGAAAAAGAGAGACCTTTCTGACTCATCTTTTATTCTATTCATGTCTTCAGCAGATTGGATAAGGCCTGCCCACACTGGGAAAGGCATCTGTTTTACTCAGTCTACCAATTAAAATAGTTATCAGATCCAGAAACATCCTCACAGACACACCTCCAAGTAACAATTAACCAAAAATCTGAGCATACCATGGCCCAGTAGTCAGATAAATTAGCCATCAGAGGGCTGAGTATGGTAACTCAAACCTGTAATCCCAGCCACTTGAGTCAGAAATAGGAGGACCTCAGTTAGGGCCAGCCCAAGCAAAAAGTTAGGAGACCCCATCTCAAATAACCAGCTGCGATTTTACAAAAATCCCAGCTACATGGAAAGCACAGATAGAGGAGGATTATGGTCTGAGACTAGCCCCAGGCAAAAGCAAGACCCTATCTGAAAAATAAAGCAGAAAAGGACTAAGGCATGGCTCAAGTGGTAAAGCAATTGCCTAGTAAGTGTGAGACCCTGAGTTCAAACCCCAGGATCACAAAGAAAAAAAAAAAAAAAAAGCCATCAGAGTGACCTTATTTGGACTCTTTCACACATATAAGTAAGGATCACAAACTTAGATCCCCCTGGATTCAAAGTGGTATTGACTCCAGTGACCGGAATGCTTGTAAGAGAACAAACGACAGACAGACACAAGAAGATGGAAGCACAGAATGCATGATGAGTACACAGGCCAAAGAGTGCTAAGGATTGATGACGGCCACCAGAAGTTGTGAGTTATGAGAATTATGAGGCATCAGAAGGGTTCTTCCTGAGTCTTCAGAAGGAAACACCTGGTACCTTGACTTCAGACTTGTGACTTCCAAATGTGAGAGAATAAATTTATGTTGTTTTAAACAACCAAGTTTGGGGCAACTTTGTTATAGTAACACTAGAAAATGAGCACAAGAATATTTTCACTTAAATGGAATTCTGGGTTGACAGGTTTTTTTTTTTTCAGCACTTTAATTTTTTTAACATGATTTTGGGGGGGTGAGAGGCAGAACTGGGGACTGAACTCAGAACCTTGCACTTGCTAGGCAAGCACTGGGCCACTTGAGCCACACCCTTGGTCCTCTTTCAACACTTAAAGATGAGACATTTCTTTTTGCTTGTTTAGGAGTTTTTTGGTTTTTTTGAAACAGGGTCTCAACTATGTAGCCCAGGCTGACCTGGAACCTGTAATCCTCTTGCCTCAGCCTCCATGCTTGGATTACAGGTGTGCACCATTGCACCCAGTTTCAGATGTTCTATTTTCATTAACGACTTAAATAAAATAGTAAATAATAGTACCTTCCACTTACCTGCACTTTCATTCTCCATGGTTTAAGTTACCAATGGTCAGCCACAGCTCAAAAATATTAACTAAAACTTTCAGAAATAAACAAGTTGTAAGTTTAAAACTGCACATGATTAGTGTGACACAATCTGTGCCATCCTGCTCCATCCAGCCCAGAATGTAAACCACTCTTCTTTCCACAGTATCTGTGCTGTACACATGCACAGTCACCCAGTATTTGTTTTGGTTACAAGAGAGCAGTAACAAAAGCCCAGGGCAAGTAACCCTTATGTTACTTCATAATGGCCCCAAAGCATAACGGTAGTGACACTAGCGATCCGGATATGCCCAAGAAAGCCTGTTTTGTGTGAGTGAAAAGGTGAAAGTTTTTCATAGGTATGTATGTATGGGGAAAACCATATGACATACAGGGTTCAGAACTACCCTCAATCTCAGGCATCCACTGGGAGTCTTGGAACACAACCCCCAGGGATAAGGGAGACTGAAATGTACCCCCAAAATTTTACTATTCTAAAAATTGGACAAAATAAAATTTCTAGTTTTCGATAAAGAATTATATGCTTTTACCTATTTTCTTTGGTGGCACTGGGGTTTGAACTCAGGGCCTCACATTTGCTAGGCAGGCGCTCTTCCACTTGAGCCACTCTGCCAGACCATCTATTTTCTTTCAAGTACTGGGGCTTGAATTCAGGGCCTATACCTTGAGCCACGCCGCCAGCCCTTTTTTTGAGATTGGATTTTTTTCGAGACCTGGGCTGGCTTTGAACCCCGATCCTCCTGATCTCTACCTCCTGAATAGCTAGAATTACAGGTGTAAGCCACTGGTGCCTGGCTCTTTTACCTATTTTTGAATACATTAGGATCAAAGGTCAGAAGTAACCCTATTTGCTTGAGACTAAATTTGCTTATAGTACTCATCTTCCTGGGTCATTTGAGAAAAAGGTCTCTTAATGAAATTCCTACTTTCTTTTTTTTGTGGCACTGGAATTTTAACTCAGGGCCTTGCACTTGTTAGGCAGGGGCTCTATCACTTGAGCCATACCCTAGCTCTTTCTAATGATTTTTGGGATCTTGTGCTTTGCTAGGGCAACCTAGACCACAATCTTCTTTACTCCTCTCATATAGCTGGGATGACAAGTGCAAACCACCACACTTGGGTTATTAGTCAAGATGAAGTCTTGCTAACTTTTTGCCCAGGATGGTCTCAAACTGCAGTCCTCCCAAACTCTGCCTCCTGAGTAGCTGGGATTATAGGAATGGATTATAGGGATACACCCAGTAAAATTCCTACCTTCTTATCTCTAAAGGAATAAATGAATGTTCCTGACAGTACCAGTCCACTCTAAGTCTCTCTGAACCTAACTTGAGCATATCTTTAGTAACACCTGCGTAAGTTGAAAAAGTAGCACACAAGCAAAGAAGACACTGAATCCTTGCACATTTTATTAGAAAACTCCACCACTCCCTAAAAAAGAAGTCTTTCACTTTAGCCTTTACATTATTTACCAAAACAGTATCTTAATACTGTGAACAGATACACCAAAAATATAGTGTCATAGACACCAATAGGACTCACTTTTCCAGAATATATTACTCACTGTACCTTTTGTAGCAGGATGTCTGGATATGGAACTTCTAGTGAGACTTTTAGGTTTTAGTTTTTTTCTTTCTTCTTTAGTTTGCTTTTGCTGTTGACGAAATGTCTCTTCTCTCTGAATTCTTTTTTGTTCTTCAGCTTTCTTTTGACTTTCTTTCCAGGCTTCCAATTCTTTAGTTGCTTTTCTCCGTTCGTTTTCTTTCATATCTTCTATCTTTTTCCTCTCTTCTTCTTCAATCTGTAAAAATTAGAATGAGTAAATCCTTTACTAGTGCGCATATGTGACTGACTCTATTTATGACTTTCCTATGATAAGGAAACTCTCCTCTGTAAAATATAAAAGCAGTATCTCTTTAAATAGGAAACTATTTTTTGGCTTGAATTTTTCATTATGAAAATTCCAAACGCTTACAAAGTAGAAGCAGCAATGTAATGAGCTGCCTCACACCAACTCCCAGATTCAACCCTAAGCTACACTGTGCCATGCTCCTCTCCCGTCACCTGTCCCTTTTTCCTTTGCTAAAGCATTTTAGTTTTTTTTGTTGTTTGTTTGTGGTACTGAGGTTTGAACTCAGGACCTATACCTTGAGCCTCTACACCAGCTCCTTTTTGTGATGGGTATTTTTCAAGATAGGGTCCCTTGAACTACACCAACTCCCAGATTCAACCCTAAGCTACACTGTGCCATGCTCCTCTCCCGTCACCTGTCCCTTTTTCCTTTGCTAAAGCATTTTAGGTTTTTTGTTTGTTTGTTTGTGGTACTGAGGTTTGAACTCAGGACCTACACCTTGAGCCTCTACACCAGCTCCTTTTTGTGATGGGTATTTTTCAAGATAGGGTCCCTTGAACTATTTGCCTGGGGCGGACTTAAAACCACAGTCTTCCTGATCTCTGCCTCCTAAGTAGCTAGGAGGATTACAGACTCAGAAATTCTTCTTTTTTTTGCATTTTTATTTGCTCTATTAGTTGTGCAGGGGGTTTCATTGTGACATTTCTATTCACATATGCTGACAATGTACCTTGGTTAGTTCATCCCCACCATCATTCTCCCTCACCCTCCCTTCTAGAAAATTAATTATAAGAGTTAATTATTCCACATCTGAACTCTTTCCATTTCATCTGTAGCAAGTTAGCCATGAACAAATAATTAAAATGAAGAAGTACAATGCCCATTGGTGTTGGGTGACGGAACACAGGTTTTGACCCAGTTCTACTGCTAACTATTGATAAGGTCTTGGGTAATCATGTCCTCTATCCCTGGTTTCCTGGGTGGGTATTCAAATAGGTGGTATCTAAGAGCTTGGTGAAAAAAAATAATTTTTCTAAAATTTAAGTCATTTTTCTTAAAACCTACATATATACACCCACCCAAACATATAAACAAAATGTGTCTTTCTTTTTTACACGTTTTACCTGCTTTAGGACTGTAGTTATGCCAACCCTCATCTGAGGAAGAGGTAGGCAGCAAGCAGGAAGGATGAACTAGACAGTTTGCCTCTGGTGGGTAAAAACACTTGAACTCTCAATCCTGCTGCCAACTGTTTGTACTAGTAGTTGTTTAACATTTTTACAGGAAAACACTTTCATATGAAAAGCTAAACGTCAGGTAGATGTGAAAGCAGTGTCTTAGACAGGAGGTAGCAACTTTTCTTGCTTTCACATGGATGAGGAAAATAAATGTGAAATAAAGTAACTAGTGGGTATTTATGACTGACTCTATATATGATTTTCCTATGATAAGGAAAATCTCTCTATCCCCCACAGAAGTACTTCCTTCAAGGATCAAAATGCTCTTTGCTATCAATACAATAGCCATTAGCCACGTGTAGTAAATTTAAGTACTTCAAACATAGCTACTGGGCTAAGAAACTGCACCTTTTATTTTACTTTCATTTATATAGTATATCTGGAGGGTTTCTAGAATACAGAGAGGTTGGGATGAAGGCTCCCAGACATTGTTTTGTTTGTTTTGTGGTGCTGGGGATTGAACTGACAGCCTTGCACATGCTAGGCAAGTGCTCTCCCACTGAGCATCTTCCTCAGTCCTTGAAGTGTATTATTTCAGGATACAGACATTCTAGTTAAAAAATCTGCACTGAGAGGTCCTCTATACTATCTTTATGACTTAACCCTATCTTCTGGAAGACTGACAGTTTTCCTGTTGATTATATGCGAGAGCCACCAGTAACCAGCCGAGTTAGTTCTTGTTTTGTTGTTAAGTTTTACCAAGGATTTATTTTAGTCAGCAGGATAGGGAGAAATGGGGGTACATGGGAACCAGGAAATGGCTGAGTTCTTAAGTTGTTATAAAAAACTAAGCCTAAGAAGAGAAAAGGAAAGGGGAGGGGAGAGGAGGGAAAAGGAAAAGAAGTCATTTTTAAAATCAGCCTGGGAAGCCAGGAATCTGGTTGCTCATGCCTGAAATCCTAGCTACTCAGGAGGCAGAGATCAAGAGGATCAAGATTTGGAGTCGGCCCAGGCAAATAGTTTCTAAGACCCTATTTCAAAAAAACCCATCACAAAAAAGGTCAAGTGGAGTGGCTGAAGTGGTAGAGCACCTGTCTAGCAAGCATGAGACCCTGAGTTCAAACTCCAGTGTGCCAAAATAAAAAAAAAAAAAAAAGCCTGAGCCCAACCCTGAATCTCTCCCTCACCTTCTGCCTTGCTATGTAATCTCTTGTTCCCAAAATGTTCCCGCCATAACATTGTCCACCATCACACCTCGCCAGAGGCTCAAAAGATGGGGCTGCCTGATCTCGGAGTTTCACATCCAAAACTGGGAGCTAAATAAAGTTATTTTATGAACTTACCCTGTTTCAGGAATTTTGTTATAGTAATGAAAAGCAGATTAGTACATTCACCTATGGCTTAAACTAAAAACAAAAGATAATTACTACAAGTTCTAACTTCAGTGAGCTGCCAACAAGTGAGGAAGAATGCATACATGGCGATTAATCAGCATTTATATGACTGACAAAAGAGAGAGGAAGTCACAGCCCAACAAGGAGAAAGAGACAACCTCACCCCGTTTGACAATATGCTTTCTGTCCCAACACTTGGAAGAAGAGAAAAATATGAGGAGTCAGACATGTTCATCCTTCATAACTCCTGTAGGCAGAGTGAGGGTTTTTTTTATTTTGTTTTCAGTACTGGCGATGGAAACTGGGGCCTCAGCATACAAGGCAAGCTCTCTGCCACTAAGCATATCCTTAGTGTGCAAAGTGAATTTTAAGTAGAGTTTTGAAAACATGTAAGTCAGTTTTAATTATCAAATGTGAGACTGTTCTTAAAACCAAAAGTAATAGTGAAGTTCTGGTATAATAGCCACGATGTAATTAAAGGAATTCTATCATATCTATACTTTTAGTTTATAGTGAACTATATTGGAGACACAGAATAGTACTCTTCAAAGAGCAATGAAGAAGAGGTTTCACAGAGTAGGTGGCAGAAGAACTGCAGTGAAGAGAAAAGCATGAAGAAGGAAGGGACAGGAAGCTCCTGACAAAGGAGAAATAGAGACCACATGTATTAAAGAGAAAGACAGTGCACAGGAAAAACAAACCTTTTCCTCCTCTTCTACACTTGCACAATACTTACACTTCACTTCTGCTCCCCAGGATTTGTAAGTTTTTTCTATGCTGACCAATTCTCTAACACCAGCAGGGTGTCCTATAATTTAATTCAACTCTGATGCTACTTATGTGGAGGTAGCATCAGATCCCACAGGTTAGGAGGTCAGTTTCACAAAACTATCCCTCACATGCCACCCTTAAGTCACGCTTCTGGTACGTCTGACCAACTGGCTATAAACTGAGGGCTCCCACAAACCTACAATGACTCACAAGACTCAGGGGAACACTTAACTTATATTTACCTATTCATTATAAAAGGATACAACTCAAGAATAGCCCTATGGAAGAGACATTTAGAGTACAACTTTTAAAATAAAGGAGCACTATTCTGATTGCTTTGGAGCAACTTTGCCCCTCCCCCACTGGACATTTGACAATATTTAGCCACTTTTTCCCCCCAGTGGTGAATAGCAAACCCAAGGCTTCAGGCATGCTAGGTAAGCATTCTACTACTTGAGCCACATCCCCAACCCCCAAAAAACTTTTAAAATGCTAAGATTAAGCTTAGCAAAATATAAGCAAGTCCTAAATGTATGTTAAATAATTTTGCTGAGAAGCTGGCCGTGGTGGTTCATGCCTATAATCCTAGTTATTTGGGAAGCAGAGATTGAGAGGATCGGGGTTCAAGGTCAACCCATGCAAAAACTTTTGAGCCCTCCATCTCAACCAATGGGTGAGAATGGTGGTGCATACCTGTCTTCCCAGTTACATGGGAAAGCACAAATAGGAGGATTGTAATCCAGGCTGGCCTGGACATAAAGTGAGACCCTATCGCAAAAGTAGCCAATGAGAAAAAATGGCTGGCAGAGTGGCTCAAGGGGCAGAGTGCCTGCCCAGCAAGCACCAGCACTGCCAAACTCATATTTATTTATTTATTTTAGCTGAGGAATATAAAGTAAATGCAAATAAATGGAGATAAAAATGTCCTACTCCTGAAAGGAAATGTCAATATTGTTAACATGCCAGTGCTCTGCAGATTAAGTTATAGTTGATGTAAGTCCAATCAAAATATGAAGAGGACTTGTAGGGAGCATGATATGTAAATATAACATTCACCTGCAAAAGAAAACTTGTGGGTATTATACAGAGGTTGACAATTCACCTCCCCAAATATCAAGGATAGACTGGATAAAATTATCAAAACAACCATTTCAGGGCACTGGAAATGAACCATAGGAAGATTGCAAATGGAGAGGTGTTTATTCTAGAAAAAGTGCTAAGGTTTAAAGCAAGGAGAGTGGTGTCTGGCCCATTCTGCCTGAGCTTGCTCCCAACCACCACTTCCACCAAGGATGATGAGCCTGGCAATTTTACCAATGTGAATCTAGCAAAAAGCAGCAGCTTTGGTGGCCAGGGTGGTGAATTCCTTTCTGGGTGGGGCAGAAAACTCTGTGGCTTTGGTGTAAAAGTGGTAGAGTTGGCTGGGAATGAGCAGAGAAAATTTGTGGTTGAGGTCTGAGGTTGAGGTCCTGGTTAGGATGCTAAGTTTAATGGAAAAAGCACATAAATGGAAGAGCCAAGAGTGTACACGGAGGTTGTGGCAGGCCTCTTAAGGCTCTCTAGGGAAACAATGGAGGCCAGAGGCAGTGAAATAACATGTTCAAAG